TGCTCGGCGGGAAGCCTGCTTCTCCCTCTCCCACTCCCCCTGCTTGTGTTCTCTCTCTCGCTGTCTCTCTCTCTGTCAAATAAATAAATAAAATCTTAAAAAAAAACCTCTTTAACTTCTTTGAAGAGTCAAAAATTTAAAACACGTAAATTTGCCGTAGGAGTAAAATGCCCTTGGATCCATAAATATAAATGATTACATTTTAAAAATGAGAATACAATTTGGTTTGATCAGTTATGAAAACTTTCCACTTGTGATATGCAGTAGGGAGCAATGAATGCATTTACTGTCCTGAGTTTCACACCTGTACACTTTAATACATTTTAAAATCATTAGAAGTTAAAATGTTTCAGATCAAAGATATTAATAAAGCATTCTACAAACGGCAACACCTGTGCTGACACAACAGAACCTGTGACTCATGGAACCTCTGGGTAGAAGGAATAACCTTCCCCTCAGAGGTGTGAAGCCCTACTACATTTCTCACTAGTGGTTACTGAGCCTCAGCTCAAACACCTCCAATGATGGGAACTCATTACTTGCCACAGGAACACATTCCCATTTTAAATAAAATTTAGACAGAATTTACATACAATAATATGCACCCATTTTAAGGGTACAGAATGATGAATTCTGACAAATGTATAAAACTCAAGTAACCCCATCACATCAATATACAGACTAGGGGGTTTTTTGTTTGTTTTTAAAGATTCATTGATTTATTTTAGAGACAGAGAGTGCATGTGCATATGGTGGGGAGGGGGAGAGGGAGACGAAGGAGAGTCTTAAGCAGACTCCATGCTGGGCGCAGAGCCCAACATGGGGCTTGATTCCATGATCCTGAGATCATGATCTGAGCCAAAACCCAGAGTTGGACACTTAACCGACGGAGCCACCCAGGTGCCCCTAGGTTTTTCTTTTTTTTTTTAATTCACAGAAAAAAGAAAAGAATCCCTCTTTGATCCCAGCTAAATCCCACTTCTACAATGACTGTGAAATAATTCACCTTGAATCCTGAAGCATTTGATTGCCCTCTTAACTTACACTGAATCAGATATAACACTCTTCTAACTCCAACCATCATTCAAGGACACGAAACACAACACAGCTAATTATTTCCCCACAGTTGCTTCCTTAAGCATTATTGACATTCCTTCCCTTCTCATACACCAAGTATGCACCTTTTCCCTGGTAGACCTTTCATGGTATCCCTTCATTCCTGTATTCTCCACTGCTATCTTGGTATCTCTAACACAACCCCTAAAAAAGTCCTTTATCAGTTTTCCTTTTAACATTTCTGTCCAAGACAAGTACAATGATTCTCACATGTGAGTAAGCACCAGAATTGCCCAGAAGACTTATTAAAGCATGGACTGCTGGGTCCCACCTCCAGAGTTTCTGATTCCATAGAACTTCAGGTGAAGCCTGAGAATTTGCATGTCTTATGAGTTCCCAGGTGATGCTGCAAGACCACGATTCTCACACTTTAAAAACCACTAATATATGTACACAACTGGATTAAGGGCATAACCTTCTTGGCCAGATGTCCTGTGTTCAAATTCCAGCACTGTGTGCCCTTGGACAAATTATTCAAGCTCTCCAGGTGTCAAAACTCTCATCTCTCAAGTGAGGATGATGATATACCTCATAGAGTTGAAGTGAGGATAAAATGAGATAGGGTCTGTAGAGTGTGAGGAGAAAAAGTCATCCTGATCTTCTCAAGAATCTTTCTTTTCTAAAAAGTGTACTAAACTTTTTCCTATGAGGCTTGAAAATTCTTGGCATTGGATCTCTTCTAGCCATTCATTCATTCACTTTTTATTTTCCTCAGACAATAAACTTTTTTAATGTTAGCTTTCTTCTTCCAACCCATAGAAGCATAAGTGCCAACACAAGTAACATCCAACCTGTTGGGATTTCTGACACTGAATTTCTATCATTGTTTCTATTTGGGACATCCCTAACACTTTCCATTCTTGCCTGAAAGTCTGTATTCACAGATAAATCACAGGTGTGATCACCAACCTCCACATCTTGATGAGCTGAGGGGTAGAGGGAAAATAGCCAATAGTCTCCTTTCTCTCAGGCCCCAAATAATTTTCCTATACCTACCAACCTCCCTTTTTTGCTTCTGATTTGCTTATGTCTGCTTTCATCTGCCTGGGCCTCCCACACTTGATTATCTTCAAACTCCCCTTTTGACATTTTAGACTTTGGCCCCTCATATATGTTCTCAGCACCCCTTTAACAAGGAGTTAAACCATATGTGAAAGATACTAGTGTTTCTCTAAAGTAATATAAAGACTCTTCCCTTAGTAAAAGAAAAAAGAATTCTCAAAAGACTCTAAGAATATGTCTATGGATTTCATTTTAAAAAATAGTGAATTAGGTCCCCTTAATATTCTTTCTGAAAAAATAACTGAATCTTAATAAGCAGTTATAGGAGCATCTAAGATTCTGGGAAAAAATGTGATTTATTAAGTTAATGTTGGTCAAGCAGAATGCAATTTGGGCATCTGAAGTCAAAACTAATGAACTGTTTTTCCCTTGAACGCTTGTTGTGGAGACTTGTATATCCAGCATCCTCTATATCAAGCAACAGTAATACTTTCAACAAATCCATCCCCAAATCTATTTACATCAATAAAAATGCTCTCCCTTGGAGAGTCCTGCTAGTAGTTGTACAGTTTTATTAATGTGCTAAAAGCTACAGGTTTCTTTAAGAAGCTATTGCCAAAAGTGGTTATTTTCCTTTATTCCTGACTCTCAATTACAGCCATTTTTCAAGGCTAGCTCTAGTCTTAGATCTTGGCCAATCCAGGTTAACACTGGGCTATCCTGGTTCTGAAGTCCAAAAGTACCTAATCTATAATTCTTAATCATAGGCAATAAATCATACATACAGAAAAGCCCAGAAACATACAAACACTACTATATATAGAGTCCAGGATGATACTGGCCTGGAGTAGGCAATAAACAGAGTAGCTAAGTAGGATGTCGATATCACAGGATTCAGCAATAGGAGGGGACTGTAGAGACTATAGTACTAGTACAAGTCTAAAGGTAACAGTGGTAGAACTCTAAGCAAGGAGCCAAAGAGGGAATCCTATAAGGGAGGGACAAAGACAGGAATGCAGTTGGAGTCAGTGGAAGGAAAGGGGATGGGAAGTAACAGACGTTATCTCTTTTAGTCCTCCCATCAATTTTACAAAGTTCATTGTTGTCAAACAACATCCTTAAAGTCAAGTGGGTAATAAATCCAATTGATCTGATCTGATCTAATCCACTACAATCCAGTTTTTATGCCTAGGGAATAAGGTAGAAGGTAGAGATAAAACTGGACCAGCAGCAAGGGTGACATGCCACTGAGTGACAGGTCCAGAGTTCTTTAAATTCCCCTTGACAAGAAATAGGGCTAGTTCCATAAGTACAGGAAGAGAAGAGGGCACTCGAGCAATAAAAGTTGAAGAAAACTGAAGGAGGATGCTTAGATATTATTATTGGACTGCACCTGGATCTCTCGATGGCTTTGTAGGTTCATTTTTCATTATGGTAAAAAATACATAATATAAAATTTACAATTTTAACCATTTTTAGCGTGCAATTTAGTAGCATTAAGTACATTCACAATGTTACGCAATTATCAAGACTATCCTACAGGGGTTTTTTTTTTTTTTTTTAAACTGTTCTCTATTCTTCACTGAGCTTACTTATTAGCACAGTCCTATGCACACAGGAAGTGCTCCAAAAATACATGGTTAATTTGTCTAGATACTATCATGTCCATGTGATGATAATGAGAGGATGTGGTTACTCTGCTTATGTTCCCAAGTCATTTGGTGCCTAAATGGAGCTTCTGTGAGTCCTGACCATGTGTTCGTGAGAACTCAATCACCCTGGGAATAGTAATCAGTGGTTCTCCTTTGAGCTTTTGCCTAATACATTCTGTTCCATGTCCTCACACAGATTATTATAAATAGGACATTTGTATACAACTATGGCTATAGTCAAAGCCTTCCTACACAAATCTTCCTTAGATTAGGGGTTAGGAGCTGCTTACGTAATCTAATCGGATATATAATTATTAAATGGCTACAAGCCCTCAATTTTCCTTTCATGTGCCTATCCCTCTGGAAGGGAAATGTATTTGTCTGGAATGAGAAGAACTCTGTACATGTTAGTTTGTTTCTTAAATCAACTATTATTGAGGTATAATTTACATACATTATAACTCACCCATTTTTTTTTTTTTTAAGATTTTTATTTATTTATTCATGAGAGAGAGAGAGGCAGAAGGAGAAGCAGGCTCCCAAGGAGCAGGGAGCCCGATGCGGGACTCGATCCCAGGACCCTGAGATCATGACCTGAGCCAAAGGCAGACGCTTAACCATCTGAGCCACCCAGGCGCCCTATAACTCACACGTTTTAATGTGTAGATATCAATGACTTTTGACAAATGTATGTATTTGTATATACCATACACCTACAGATTTTACAAACTACATTAGATCAGAGAGTTAGAATAGCTGAATAAATCTCAATTCTGAAACAACAAATATTTGGGGATTCTTCTATCATTCCCTTTTAGAAGCAAGTATATGGATAGATTATACAGATACCTAATCCAGAAACTTCAAGCATTTTGCTTCTAAGGAAAATGCTTTAAACAATTTACTGATGTTCAATTTTAGGCATTAGATTTCAAGAAAAAATACAAAAACTAGAAAACAAACAGATGAAGGGACTAGCATTGAAAAGCCTAGAAATCATATTCTAGAAGGAACATATTAAAGAATTAAAAGTTCTTAAAAGAAAAAAATATGATGAGGTTGGACAGGGTGAGGAAGGATAATGTTGGTCTCAAAAAGTTGAAAAATTTTATATGGAAATATGACAAAACTTGTTCAGCATATGGCTCCAAGAGGGCAAAAGTACCAGAGGGAAGTTATTATAGGGCAGTGTTTATATAAGGAAGAACTTCTACGAGGCAGAGTCTCCAAATGGAATGGCTCAAGTATAAAGTATCCCTGCACTGTAATTGTTCAGGAAGAGGCAAAAAACCATCTATAGGAGAAGCTGGGGCAAGAACAGAAGAATGAGATTCGCTGGCCTCGGAAGTCCTGTCCAATTCCAATTCTGAGATTGTATAACCCAGGGACCTCTTATACTTGAAAGCCAGATGTCAGGGAAACCATAATCCAAAGATGTAAAACCCCCAGATCATGGTTTGATCAAGAACAAAGAACTAAACCTAGACAGAAGCATGAGCAGACACAGGTTTGTTCCTGTATGTGCATACAGATACACACATATATCCAACCTTCCTATACTTCCTGGGAAGGAAACTAAGAATAATTTAGAAACATAATGACAGAAAACCTATTCTGTCTTTCCCACCAAATCTACTTTATGTTTCCTCATCTATGTTAACAATATGAGACTGGCTACCCAATTACGCAGAATAAAACCTTAATGTTTGACTCTTCCATCTTCCTCCATTTCTACTAAGTCTACCCAGAAACGCCCCTCAGCTGTCCTTTACCTTTATACTTGTATTGCCATTGCTCTTGGTGAAACTCTTGCTTGATTCCTAACTAGTCATCCTGCCTATTATCGCTCCCTTCCCCAAGCCATTATTCACACTGCTAACAGTAATCCTTCTCAACCAGACTGGATCGTATCACTCTAACCTGCTCAAAAATCCATATCGGCTCCTCAATGCCTACAAATTAAAGTGCAAATTCTTTGGTATGGCCCTCAATGCCATCTCAGTCAGGCACTCAGACTCCTTACTTTGCTTGCCCATAGTATCTCATGCTTTGGTTATACCGCAATACTTGTCATTCCTGAAAGGCCATACACTTCTCTACTCCATGTCTTTGTTCAGCTGTTCTCAAATGCACCCTTCCCCACTCCCATCTATTGACATTTGACTCAATTTTCAAGGCTCAAGCAAATGCTACCTATCTCATGAAGCTATTCTTAATGCTTCCACCTCACAATCCCTGCCTCCCTCCCTTGGAATTAAATGCTTCTGTTAGAGCTGATAATACTTCCCCTTCATACCTCATTTTTGCATTTAATACTCATGCTTGAAATTTCAGTTTTTGGGGTCCAAACTTATCTCCACCCACTATAAATCCTTAAAGGCAGAGAATAGGCCTCATTTATTTCCATAGCTAACCTTGTCAGACCCCTGGTGCCAAGGTTTAACACAGGACCTTTTATATAACAAATGCTTGATAAATGTTTATTAAACTGATCTGGAGGCTGAGGACTGTTAGACTTCTATCCATGGCTCAATACCAGTCTTAAAAATTGTAACTTCTATTAAAATTCTAATCAAAAGCGTAGGAATTAATAAAAGCTTCTTATCCTATTAATCTAACATCTCTGAGCCAAAAACAATTATAATACTTACATTCACTAGGAGAGAGAAATCAGTGACCAGTTGGCTAAGTTCAATTAAGTCCTTAAAAAGAGAGAAGAAAAGGAAGTTACTTACTTTTATGCCTCACAGCTAACAAAATGAAAATAATTTTTAACATACCGCTTCTAAGGTTTCCCATGATTCTGCAGCATTTTGATCTCGAGGAATTTCAGGCAACGCATATACCTGAGTCATATTCTGAGGATCGGCTTCAGCCTCAGCAGTGTGAAATGTTCCTGGATGAACACAGCCTCATGTTTAGGGTTTATATGCTTTGTTAGAAAGCAGATAGCATAAATCAATTTTGTAAAACAATTCCCATGTAAAATGCTAACTAACTGAATTCAGGCTCAAAGTAAATTGACTATTCTATAAAAATAGATATATCTATGGGCAGATTGTTCCCAGGTTAACCAATATTTTTTTCTTTAACTCTACAAAGTCATCTCAAAAAATGGCTACAAATGCCACCTACCCAATCTGAATAACTACAGCTCAATGTGGAAGCAGCACTGAAGGAAAACTCTTCTATGTGGCTAATATTCCACGTAGAGATACCCACTAGAAACAGGTTTCACACTTCCAATGTAAATCATTAACCTTTTCTTTGGGGATTTTAGTAATAAATACCAGATTCATAAGGTGTTAAAAGTAGGAAAGTGATGTGTTTTTTGCAATGAAAATCAGTCATTTGGGGTAACAATAAATCTGTCATCAAATGAACACCTCTTACCGTGTGGATCTTTTCATACATATTGTTATCCTTCTTCTAAGAGTCATTTTTCTAGCCCATGTCTCCACTGCTTCTATTTCTTTTCTGAGTTTTAAAAAGTCATTAACCCATTAAGGCCTTCCTCTCAGTAAAACTGCTATGATGATGAATTAATTTACACTCCAAACCCCACCTACAAGTCTTTATTTCCTTGTACTGGTTTTACCATTCATTCATTCAACTCATATGGATCGAATGCCTACTAAATGCCACTCAGTACACTTAGATCCTACAGACACAATGGTAAACCACAAAAACAGCTCCAGGGAGTCAACATAGTACAGTGGTTAAGAGCACGGGCCTAGTCAGAAAGACCTGGGTTAGAATCCTGGCTAATGACTAGCTCTTTGACTCATTTTCCTCATTTTTAAAATAAGGTGAAAGGGGCACCTGGCTGGCTCAGTTGCAAGAGCATGTGACTCTTGATCTTGGGGTCGTGAGTTCGAGCTCCACATTGGGTGTAGAGATTATTTCAATGAATAAAAACTTAAAAAAAATAAGAATAAAACAAGGTGATAGGTATTTATTTTGCACTGTTCCTGGCTTAAATATTGAGTATAAGTGGCTTAATAGTTACTACTACAATAAATAGCCATTGCTACTGTAGCTATTAATAATGGAACTTACCATATTATGTACAATACACTATATTAACAGGCAAGTTCAGTATAGCCAGGTAAGAACTATGATATGAGTAAATATGGAACACTATGTGAGAACAGAAGAGAGGTATTTAACTAAGACTTGGGGAGGGGAGAGTAGTTGGAGGTTTTGAAGCAGAAGCCTGAGGATGAACAGAAATTACATAGGTGAACTGGGGCAAAGGTGGAGGGAAAAGCAGAGAGTATTCAGGTCAGAGAGACTAATATATGCATAGGTTTGGGAACTGAAAAGAGTTCAACTGAAATACAGACTATGAAAGAGAAAAGCAAAAGTTTATATAAGTTTTGTCACCTGAAATCTAAGGTGACATTATTCATAGCATTGTAACTATGCTAAAGAATTCTGTTTTTCTCATAAGATCAATATGGAACTATTAAAAGGAGTTGGAGACTACTGGGAAGCTGGAGGGTGCCATAATCAGATTTCAGATTTAGAAAGGGAACCATAGCTGTAGTGTGAAGGATGAAGTTGAAAGGTGAAAAAAAAAAAAATTAGAGAGTGAAAAACCAGTTGGGAGGCTCTGCAGTATGTCCAATGCAAAATGATGGTCTGCTCTAGGACAGTGGCAGTGGGCATGTAATTCATTTTGTCCCCCTTCAAGCTCAAAATACCTACCACTTTAATATTATCTGATACCTATTATGTATTGTGTTGGGTACCAAAGATGAAAAATTTTTATGAGTAATACAAAGGAGATGTTCTCAAAGAACTTATATTCTAGAAGAGTCAGACATACACAGAGACAATCCTAAAACAGTAAGAGAGTGTAATGGTATTTAGATAAACAGATATACATACAAACAATATTTTGTGGGCGTTCCAAGCTTGGGAAGGCATCTGACCCAGCTTGGTGTGGTGTGCAGTTTATGAGACAGCTTCCTAAAAAAGGTGATCTTATGAGACAAAGAAAATATAAATTCTACATAGACCAGAAGGCCCTCAAAGAAGAAAAGATAAAGCTTAACATAAAATCAGCAGATTGATCTTGCCAAAGGATAAAGTAAAAGACATAGAGTTACAAACACAGAACTTTACATAGATGGTTAGGAGGAGCCTTACTGTAGACCAGTGAAAGACTTTGGACTGTCTGGAAGAGAGTGGAGAGCTATTGAAGTGTTATATGCAAGGACATAACATAATGACGTGTGACACCTGATCTACTCCTAAAAGTCATAACTGTAAGTTCATCTTCTCAATTTCTTTTTCATCCTAGCCTATTTTATAAAACTGCATTGCTATTTTACTTTTGAAATTTATGAATGTTTTTACCTCTCGAGGAAAATAATCTATTTGAATTGTTTAGGAAGGGCATAGTCGGCTGACTAAAAAATATTTTGTAGGCTTATCAGAATTGATAGTGTTCTTTTAATTTTGAATTTTAACTTATCTGAATACATTTCCTTTGATCTTAAAGGAAGAGCAAAAACATCAGATAGAATAAGTTTTACATTACAACATTATGGCAAGTATCAAGAGTTATTTACCCTATGTCCTAACTTATCACATAAAGACACTTTCATTTTCACATCAATCAAGATAAATGAATTATTCTAAGACCGCTCTTCCACTTAATATTTCTATTGTAATGAGAACTCCAACTCCTACTCCAACTTCTTTAATAGGATGATACGGAATAATGATAACTTTATCATTAACAGACCAAATGTAAAGCAGAACTTTATAATTACAACATCCACTCTAAGGATTTTTATAAGCCATAGCCTTTATACTATTATAGAGGATTTAAATGACGTATGCCAGGGTATATAACAAAATGAGGGGAAATTGTCATACATAAATTCTTTATCTAAAAAATGAAGAAGGGGTGGGAAATGTTTGGCATTTTAAGCAAACATAAGATTTCCCCTGGTGAAAAATAAGAAGGGTTTAAGTCATTTACGTCTCACTTGAAACCAAACTGCGTATGCACCTTAGTTCAAATGGAGTCTTAGAACAAAGAAATCTGTTCTATTCCATGGAAAATCCTGCTGTAAACTTACAACTCTAAATATCACTAATCAATTTGAGGCATAACGATTAAGAAAGAAGCCCTTTAATTTCTACAACTTTCATAATTCATTTATTCCAGCTTATATTAGAAATCACTACCTCAGTGAACATCCATTGACTTTGAACTTTTAGGAATTGCTACAGACATGATGATGGAAAACAGAGACAGATTATAGCTGCAGGAAAGAAGGATGAAGAACTCACCCTGTGCATATAACTCAAATTGCTATTGTTTTATATGATGAAGTCATCTAAGATAGTTCCATCCACATGCAAACAATGCAAGTGGGCATGAAGTTTTCAAACTCCAGTTTTAAAACCTTATTATTGACTACAAACTTAAACATGAAGATATTTTTAGTTGAAGCTAATAACACAGACATAAGACTTTTCCCTTTTCTCCATACATCCAAACATTCGTTCTTTGTCTTTCCATGTTTCATGAAAGGCAATGATTCTACTAAGAATTATAACACAACATATAAGAAATTTTCACTAAACTTCAGTATGTTAGGAAAAGTTTCATTATAAGTCTAAATTAATTCAAAGGCATTTCCTGAATTTTTCATGTTCTGACAGCTTAAAAATAGTGAAATTAATCTACTGATCATCTATACGAACCTATCTATCAAAATAAAATGACTTCTAAGTCATGGCTTAACTTAGCTGCAAAGGAGGATTTTTAAGAAAATTAAAACCAACAGAAAACATATCTTCTGAATAATATACAAAACTATCCACGTGCTTCACAAACTGTTCACTATATGTATATATACCTGTGATAAAATCTGATATTTCATCAAATTCAATATGCGGTCTGAAGTTCCCAGCGGTTTTAAGATTGGATTCTTTTCTTTTGTGAGTATTTGTTTAAAATGTAATAAGATTCTGTTCCTATTGCACTGGTGAACTGTATGTGCTGGATGGGGAGTAAGAAAGACAAAGATGGAGAGAAGCACTGATTCACTCTATATGACTTGATACACCTTTCTAAATACAAATCAAATTTGTAGGTTCATCACTTCTCTTGGTGGGAAGCAATATGCTAAAAATGAAAGTAGACACACAAGTGAGACAGAAGGGAGTTTCTCAGATCAAGCAAGATTGGCAAAGAAGATTTGCTTTAGGAACTCTCAGAATCTGGACAAAAGAAGCAGCAAAATCATCACAGCTTCCCCCTAAACTTAATAAGCTTCTTTTACTCTCCAGAGAACATAAAACGTCCTATTCTACTTGTTATTTCTATCTGTAAGTGAAAAACTATTTTTGTATTTTGATCTCACTCATGGAAATGTGGCAACATTGCTCCTGAATCTCTGCTGATATTTCCAACCAATTTATTTAGAATCAGATTGAATTTTTAAAGGAAGAAATATTTTAAGGCACTTAACTTCTGTGCAAATCAAACACATTTTTTCTGTATAGGCTGTCACTACTATAATGAGCATCTAAAGCAAAAACAAAAAAAAACAGAAAGCACAGGATAAAAACATGCAGAATGACAGAAAAGAGTCCATAACTAGAAGACCACACATAGAGCGAACTCAATTCCTACCCCGCAATTAAGGTCTTATGTGAATTAGTTGCTTTGTTTTAATTATTCTTCTTTCCCATCCTCTCAATTATTTGTTAATATTATTTCTCAATTTAAGGCAATCTAGTAGAAACTCTCACATTTGGTGAAATACTCAGGTACTTGGTGAGACAGTTCATTTTAATTGCTTAATGTTGGCAATGGATTCAAAGTCAAAGCACCATTTCACCAGTACACCATTTGGAATTTGAAATTCTATACATTGTTTTAGGTATAACTTACAATGACCGTCTCAATCAAATCAGCACTAGCTACAGAGATTTCATCTTTAATCTTGTAGTTTCTCTCAGTGGCAAGTGATTAGGTCTTTAGCTAATTTGATGTTCCATGAATTGAGAAATTTGAGAATCAAGAGTTGGAAAATGAATTTCATCATTTCTTCTTCATCCTCTGGCTCTGCCTCAATCTTTTTCATGTTCTCTCTATACGCGCTTCCTCAAATTTTGATTATATATATATACACCAGCCAGCTTCCTACAGAGAAATTTAATTTCCAGCAAACTGTTCAACTGCCTTCTTCTAATAATCACCCAGTTCCTCTGATGATATATAAACCCAAGCTTGTTGAGCCCAAACAGTCCTACTGACAGAAACTCAAATAATGCAATAATAAAATGCAAACTAAAGCAAGTATTAGCATAGTATTATATTGTGAGAAACTCTCAGAACTCAAAATTTTTGTTTGCCAGGGAATTGCTGGTGATGGGCAATTCAAAACTAAATAGCAAGAGCGACTGGTATCAGCAACTCCAGAAAATCTAGCATATCTTCACTGCTGTTATCACCATCACAACTGTCACAATATCTAGGTAATTAAGGTTGTCTAGGTGATTAAACATTGTCACAATGTCTAGGTGATTAAGCAGGACAGCTGCTTAATCACATGGAAGCCCAGTTTCCCTATACATGCACATAAAGTATCAGTTCACACTAAATGATATGAGCAGTATTTAGCCTCATCAATATGGTGGTGATAAATACTGTAATATTTACATTACAGAATAATGTAAACAGTAACTACAAACTATCAAAAAGCATTCTTCCCAAATACTCTTCAACCAAGGGGCTGAGTGCTAACATCTCCTTCTCCCCAAAACAACACTTTAGGTACTGGTTATCCACAGGGTGTAGTGAGAATAGTACATCTGAAATTACAAAATTGTCTCTAAAAAGATATTTATTCATTCACATTTATGAAACATTTACGTATGGTCCACTATGTACTATGTGCTAGGTACTAAGGATACAATAAAAGCAAGATTACCAAGAATCTGTGGATGATGGCCTAAATGTTTCCTCCAATTTTTTAATTACAAATTCCCTATAAATTACTGGATCATTAACACTGAAAACATAAAGTTAAAAATAATCTGGTTTTGGAGACAGGGGATGGTACAGGAGCCTCCTACATATATGAAAAGATGAAAACTAGGCAGGTATAACATCTCTCAGATTCTATTCTAATTTATAATTTATTTATACCCTACCTTTACCATTAAGATTTAAAGCATCTTGGAACATATGTAAAATATAACAAGATAGCATAAATTAAAAGAGAAACAAAAAAGGAAGTATGAGGGGAGCAATTATAAAATAAAGCCAGGACAGTTAAAAACTTTGGCTTTTGGTAGTTAAAAATATTCAGACATAAGCATTCCAGTAAATAACTCAAGCAGGGAAACCTCATCAGTTTGGATTGGATATGCCATCCAATACCCATAGGATTAAAAAAGACCAACTGCTTTCAAGTCCTATTATGTATTACACCAGTAATTCTTTTTTTCAGGGTTCCTTATAAAGGAAATACTATAATGCAATTAACAATTATCAATTACATCCTTAAAAAATATAATGACAAGTTTTGCTGGACTGTTTCTTTGAGTATCACTTCATAAAAGCTGATAGCATGAATGCAGATATATATAAATATTTTTTAATGTTGTCAGTTAAATTCAGAAAAGTGAGCTGGTGGATCTAACATCCCCTATGAAAGAAAATCAGAATGCCAAAGAAAGAGGCATGCCTGATTAGGCTACTCCTGCACCTGGACACGAAGGGGGTGTCCTCTGCAATCAAGGATGACATTCTCCCTAGGGAATATTATAACCTTTATTTTCAATACATAGACAAATAGGTACTTGAGGCCTGGAAGTTCCACTCTACACAGCATAGCTTCAAAATTTTTATCCTACAAAACTTCTAGGGTGTGCGTTTCTAAGCACTCTCAGGGTCCAAGAATTCAACATACTGAAACAGAAGGTGATCCCTGGAAAGTTATGTATCTGCAATAGCTATACAAGATGGTGAATTTTAATTAACTGCATTACTATGATCAAGAATAAGACTTAGTACGTTACCACCAACAGTCATGGATCTGGTCAAAGAAGGCTGTAATAAAGTTTCTTCATCATTAAATTGTTTCTTAAGCTCTTCTACAGATTCCAGATGGAGTTGAAGAAATTCTGCTGTTGCTGCTGATGCTTCTTCTTTAACAGGATCTATCATTCTTTTCAGAAGTATTAGGTCATCCTTTCGGACCTTCAAACAAAGTTTCTCCATTTCTCGGATATTGGAACGGAGTTGCTATAAAAGAAAAAATTCATTAAAGCCACCATCTGTTAATATAAAATGCCTTTATTTTCAGAGGTAATCTGTGATTAATGGTCATGAACAGAAATGATTTCAAGTATTCTCTACAACAGAAGGTATATATAACATTTTTCTATTTTTCATGTCTCTAGCCAACCGAGCTTCTTGAGAACTCCTATCCTTGAATTTATTTATTTAGCATTTTTTCCTTCATTAAATGTATTACAAAGGTAACAAATGCTCTTCATAATAAGTCAAACACTGTAGAACATATCAAGAAAAACTTAATGACTTCCCCCTTCACCAATCCAACCACCTCTTAACCCAGTCCCTTCCACACATTTCCCACTGCTCATACAAACGTTAACATATATAGACTTTCCATCTTTTTACCAAAAAATGGACTACATTGTGCATAATAATCTATAATTTGTTATTCCTCACCCCAATAATATAACAATACTACCATGAATATCCTTCTTGGTTAATGGGTGTACCATATTCCATGGTACAGATGTAAAATTTATTCAATGACCCCTGCAAGTGATCAACATTCATGTTGTTTCCAAAACAGAAATCCTTGAATATATCCTAATATACCATAATAGTATATATTAGTATTATAGTATATACTATTATACCGTATTTTGTAGAAATGATTCCTAAAAGTGAGAGTACTCAAAGGATCATGTGCATCTTATTTCAATAGCTATTATCAGTTTTTTCTTTTTTTTTTAAATAAATGGGGCTTTTGGGGTTTTTTTCCTTTTGTTTTAAAGATTTTATTTATTTATTTATTTGAGAGAGAGCACATGGGGGGGGGTCAGAGAGAGAAGCAGACTCCCCACTGAGCAGGGAGCCCGATGCGGGACTTGATCCCAGGACTCCAGGATCATGACCTGGGCCGAAGGTGGTTGCCCAACCAACTGAGCCACCCAGGCACCCCTCTTTTTTTTATAATTTTTGTATTATGTTTGTTACGTTAGTCACCATACAGTACATCATTAGTTCTTGATGTAGTGTTCCATGATTCATTGTTTGCATATAACATCCAGTGCTCCATGCAACACGTGCCCTCCTTAATACTCATCACTGGGCTCACCCATCCCCCCTCCCCTAAAACCCTCAGTTTGATTCCTGGAGTCCATAGTCTCTCATGGTTCATCTCTCCCTCTGATTTCCCCCCGTTCATTTTCCCCTTCATTCTCCTAATGTCCTCCATGCTATTCCTTATGTCCCACAAATAAGCGAAACCATATAATTTTCTTTCTCTGTTTGACTTATTTCACTTAGCATAATCTCCTCCAGTTCCATCCATGTTGATACAAATGTTGGGTATTCATCCTTTCTGATGGCTGAGTAATATTCCATTGTGTATATGGACCACATCTTCTTTATCCATCCGTCTGTTGAAGGGCATCTTGGCTCCTTCCACAGTTTGGCTATTGTGGACATTGCTGCTATGAACATAGGGGTGCATGTGGCCCTTCTTTTCACTACATCTGTATCAGTTTTTCCTAAGTAATAATTCATACTACCACCGAAGTATGAGTGCCCATTTCCCCACATACTGCCAGTACTACATGTTCTCTCATTGTTGCTTTAATTTGCATTTCTGAGTGTAGATTTGTATCAAATGTCAGATTTGTATCAAATGTTTTCCCCCTCTTTTTAGAATCATCTACTGACATAATCAATTTTCCTCTAATATGCTAATATTATGAGTTATGGGCAGGTTTCATAATATAGAACCATTTTTTACATTCCTGAGATAAACTCTTCCTGGTCACATATACAATTTTTTGAATTCAATTAGCTAATAATTTGGGCTTTCAACCCATGTCTGTCTATATATGTGTGTGCCTACATGTGCATACATGAATGGTATGTGTGTCTATACTATCTTTACTAGATTTAAACTCACTTTAACAGGTTTAAGGTTGTGCTAGCTTCACAGGATGAACTGGAGAGCTTTCCATCTTTCCCAATAGTCTATACTTTAAGAAACATAAAAACCAACTATTCTTTGACAATGAAATAACTAACTTGCAAGAATGATCTGAGTATGATGCTTCTGGAAAATGATAGATCTCTATAATATTTATCATATAATTTAGAATATATTCTGGGGCGCCTGGGTGGCTCAGTTGGTTAAGCGTCTGTCTTTGGCTGAGGTCATGATCCCAGGGTCCTGGGATTGAGTCCCACATCAGGCTCCCCCCTCAGCGGGGAGTCTGCTTCTCCCCCTCCCTCCGCCCCTCTCCCAGCTTGTACTCTCTCTCTCTCTCGCTTGCTCACTTGGTCTCTCAGATAAATAAATAAAATCTTAAAGGAATATATTTTAATATTTTTCATATGATATTTTAAATTCTTCTCCGCTGTGGCACTTTTACAGGTACTAATGCAAATTCTGTATAATAGGACAGAATGTATCAGTTTCTTTTATTTCTCAAGTACCTACTCTGGGTGAGGTGTTACATCCTGTATTATTACATTCCACATTATTACATTATAGAAAAATCAGAAGAAAACTTGTTTAGGATTTACTTAATTTTATCTAGCAGCAAAGCTCAATTAAAACCCAGGCATTTTTTTGTTAAGTTTTAATTTTAATTCCAGAATATTTAACATACAGTATTATATTAGTTTCAGGGGTACAATATAGGGATTCAACAATTCCGTACAAACCCAGTGCTCATCACAACAAGTGCACTCCTTAATCCCCATCACCAATTTCACCCATTCGCCCACCTCCCTCCCCTCTGGTAACTATTGGTTTGTTCTCTAGAGTTAATAATCTGTTTCTTGGTTTCTCTTTTTTTCCTTTGCTCGTTTGTTTTGTTTCTTAAATTCCACATATGAGTGAGATCATATGGTATTTGTCTTTCTCTGACTTATTTCACTTAGCGTTATACTCTCTAGCTCCATCCACGTTGTTGCAAATGGCAAGATTTCATTCTTTTTTTTATGGCTGAATAATATTCCTCTGTGTGTGTGTGTGTGTGTGTGTGTGTGTGTGTGTGTGTGTGTGTGTCACATCTTCGTTATCCATTCATCCTTCCATGGGCACCTGGCCTGCCTCCATAATTTGGCTATTGTAAATAATACTGCTATAAACATACAGGTGCATGTATCTGTTTGAATAAGGACTTTTGTATTTTGGGGGTAAATAACCAGTAATGCAATTACTAGACTGTAGGGTACTTCTATTTTTAACTTTCTGAGGAACCTCCTTATTGTTTTCCACAGTGGCTGCATCAATTTGCATTCCTACCAACAGTGCATGAGGATTCCTTTTTCTCCATAAACTCACCAACATTTATTTCTTGTGTTTTGATTTTAACCATTCTGACAAGTGTGAGATGGTATCTCCTTGTAGTTTTGATTTGCATTTCCCTGATGATGAGTGATGCTGAGTATCTTTTCATGTGTCTGTTGGCCATCTGGATGTCTTCTTTGAAGAAATGTCTGTTCATGTCTTCTGCCCATTTCCTAATTGGATTATTTGTTTTGGGGGTGTTGAGTTGTATCAGTTCTTTATATTTTGGATACTAACCCTTTATTGGGTATGTCATTTGCAAATACCTTCCTGCATTCAGTAGGTTGCCTTTTAGTTTTGTTGACTGTTTCCTTTACTGTGCAGAAGCTTTTTATTTTGATGTAGTCCCAACAGTTTATTTTTTTTTTATTTCCCTCACCTCCTGAGACCTATCTAGAAAAATGTTGATATGGCCAATGTCAGAAAAATTACTGCCAGTGCTCTCTTCTAGGATTGTTATGAAAACCCAGGTGTTCTTTAAAGTCCAGCAATCTTTCCATTAAACTATAACCATAATTCACATATATATATATATAAAATTCCTTAATATAACCAGAGGACCCATTTTATTCTAGTAAAATTAAGAACAATTCTGGAAAAAATAGTTTAGCTACAACCTAATGTATCTTGTAAGATGTTCTGGGTGAATAAAAAAGTTGTGCTTCTATCCTGCCATGACTCTATACTTCCTTTAACCATCTGTCACTCTTATGTGAACTAAAAAACCTAAGGATAACTGTACTGTAAATTAAAAATATGTGATATACAAGCATTAATATGGAAAAAATCATAGAACATATAGGCCTATGTTATCTAGTCCAACCTTATGATTTTACAAGAGGGAAACTGGACTTCAGATGAACACAGTGGCAGAATTAAGTCTCGTGTCCAGTTTTTAAGTGCTGGAACAGTATTTCTAACACAACACCAACTCTTGGTTGTACAGTTCCTTTCTGAACTACAGTTGTAAAGCTTGGTTACATAGTTGTCACATAGTCCATAGAAATATTTTAGACAGTATTATCTTGGAGAAGCATTAACGTTTCTGCAGCTCATGAGCATTTGTCTATATTTGAGCATTTGACATATTCTTCCTATTTTATAGAATTTATACATATGTTTATGTCTCCAGTCAAATTATAGTGTCCAGAATTCTATTACTAAGAGTGGGGAGGAAAATGTTAAGAAACAAAATACCCACTGAACTATAAAATCTGATACTATAGTAACAAAAACACAATAATGGCTAAATTTTTATTAACACTATAAGTTGTCCATTGTACCACGTATTTACCTTCTTCGTCTTGTTTTAGCTTCACAACTTACCTTTGAAACGAATATTACTATTATTCTCATTTTATAGAAGAGAAAAGTAAAGCAAGACATTTTTTTAAAAAGCCTAGGATTACACTTCTAGTAAAAAGTACAGCCAGGAATTAAATCCAGACTATAGAGCATATGTTCTCAACAATTTTTCTACATAGCTATACTACCCAACAGAAATATAATGCAAACCACAAATTCAAGGCATATATATAGTTTTAAATTTTCTAAGTCACATTAAAAAGTAAAGAAAAACAGGTTAATTTTAATGTCTTATTTAACCCAATACATCCAACATATTATCAAACATGTAATCAATATAAAAATTATTAATTAAATATTGTACATTCAC